CCTTGTCACACAAACCCCCCCCGGGCAGAGTAAACGTCCATGAACTCTCCACCCTCCCAGAAGATTTGACCTGTGCTCTCCACACTGAAAAGCAGCTCCTGCCTTTCTTGGTGTGTCCTCCCTGGCCCAGTGCTTTTTTCTTTTTTAACCCCAAATAATTTTTCAAAGCAGCCTCCTGGCTGGGAGTGCTGAGTGTTGGGGTTGTCTGGGGTGCAGAGACCCAGGCGTGACCCCAGCTCTGGTCCTCAGGCCAAACTGAGCCCATCTTTGGGTGAATTCATTTCAGCCTGAACTTTGTATGAACCTGGGCCCGAGGGGAAGGGAACCCGACAGAGCAAGGCTGACAGAGGCAAGTTCTGAGCAAACCCATCAGCCTGAGTAAATATTGAACAAGTCCATGTGAAGGCTGGGGCTGAAATGGAGCTGTCAGCCCAGTGTAAACTGAAAGGATAGGTGAGGCCTCTGAAGAGCAAGGAAACATTTTGTACACTCACTCCTGCAATTGTTCCTTCTACTCAAGCCCTTTGCCCCAGACCTCATTTCACCTGCCTGAGAGGCTAAAGCAACCCTGAAGCTGACGGTGCTGAAATATCTGTGTTGGGAGAAGCAAAGGGCTGAGGGGCAGAGGGTGAGCAGGGGGACAGCACAGGGGGGTGACCCTTTCAGGGAAGGGAACCAGGAGCCTTACAGCTGAGGTCAGACTTGAGGCAACAGATCCAAAGTCTCTGACTTCATCCAGGTGACCTACACAGCATCAATCCTGAAGAATAAATATACTCTATATTTGATACAAATACAAGTGAATACGCTGTCTATAAATACATACAGAAACCCAAATAAACACATATGTGCCCAGCTCACAGGGTCTAGCCCAACCAGAAAAGTTCCCCAAGGATGGGGATGTGCCAGTTGGGATTTGAGGGCAGCTACACTCACCCAGCACCTCCCACAGCTTGTTCTCCAGGGATCTTAGTGCCACCTAAAAATATGCTCATGATAAATTGATGAGAAAACTGAACAGGCATGAAAAATCCTCCTGGATTACCTGATTTAGGCTGTGTTGACTCCCTTGGAAGGATTAGTGTGGAAGCAGGTGCATGGGCACCTTCCTGCTTTGGTGCCACTCACAGAAGAAGAAGTAAACTCTTGTTTCAGTTCCAACTCATTCACTGTGTGATGGAAATGTTTCACCCTCGTCCTGCTCTGGTTTTGCTGAGAGTTGCTGCTGCAGGGTTGGCCTCTCATTTTGGAGTGTGAGAAAGCCAGAAACTTTCCTCCTCTCTTCTCCTCCAAGATTTCAAAGGCTTTTAAGGCCAGTGCCAACCCAACTTGGCCACAGTGGAATCACTGAGGGAGAGATTTTATCCCCAGAGACCCCCAGAAATGCTTCACACCTTCAGTGCAAAGAGACTCCAGGAGAATTTAAAAACAGACAGCAAAGTGGAATTGAAAATAAGGACATCTTCCGGATAGTATTACTATTATTATTTTTTAATAGAATGTCCTCTGCTAAGATCAAAAGGGCTTCACATAGTGAGAACAAATGCTTCAGGGAGAAGAGAAACATTTCACACCAAGGGGTAAGGAACAGATGGCCACACCAGGCTGGGTGTGCTCCTCGGGTCTCTGCTCTGGGGACAGGCAGAATTTGTGTCCCTTCCCCATCTCCTCCTCCTGCAGAGGGACAACAGCTCCAACACGGCGAGTGCCGTTAATAATTGACATGGTTATGTTTCTTTAACTGGGAATTTCCCCTTCCTTTGGGATATTAAAAGAATAAATCTCCATTAAGACGTGGCTTTGTGTGTGAGCAGTACAGAGGGACTTAGCTAATTTTCCTGCTCATGAAAAATGCAATAGGAAGGACCCACGGACAGACACATGGAGTTAAGGGAATATAGGGAATATAAATACCCCCAGCCTTGTGAATCATTTCTACAAGACAAATGAATGTGTAGACCTCCTATTTAGGATAAAACCCAACTATGGCAATAGGACTAAGTCTTCAGCATGGAATTCTACAAGTTCCTGCTGTGTCTCTACATCCAAACATTCGTGTTCCCATATGGATACACAGGTGGGGATTGAGGTACTGGTTTCCACTCTGCCTCTCTGAGCGTGGAGAGGACTCGAGTGTCCCTCACTGCTCACAGGAGCATCTTTCCCCAGCCAAGGATGTCCCGGCGTGGCCTTTCCAGCCGACTCCTGCTTCCCAGCGCTGGGTTTGGAGCTCTTGAGACAAAAGGGAGCGTGAGAAACTTGGAGACAGAGCAGGGGGGAAAAAGAGCTTAGCTGTGTGCGGTGCTCGTTGTTAGAGAAACACTTCTTGGCAGCGAGGGGGGCGAGAGATAGAGCTAAGGGGGAGCCCGGGGGGGGTTACATATGTAAGGAAGCATCGGCAGCAGCTCGGAGGGTCTTTCCGGAGAGACCCTTTGAGTTTCAAATGGGAATTGGGAGCTTTTGTTGTGCCCGACACACTGACACAGCAGTACTCTCCTTTTTATCCGGCCTTTCCACTCTCTCCCGGCTCTTCCAAGGCTTCCTCACCTGGAAGAAAGGGATTCTAGTCCTGGTCCCGTTCCCTGTCCCTGTCCCATGGAACAGAAACACTCAGAGAGCCCAAAATCGTCTCATGAGGTTTCTGAGACACGATGGAAACACCATGAGACAGCTGAAATCACACAGGTTCAACGAAACCTTCTCTCGCATTGGTCCAACGAACAACTCAACCCAAGTTACCTCACACCCAACAGGTTCAACGAAACCTTCGCTCGCATTGGTCCAACGAACAGCTCAACCCAAGTTACCTCACACCCAACAGGTTATAAAGTCAATTTTGTCCTCCTGGGCTTTAATTTTCCCTCCCCTAACGTTTAGCAAACGACTAATGTAACAAAATCCTCTTTTCACCTTTTCCCCCTTCTTTATTTTTTCCCCCTTATCTCTCAGCTAATTAGGCACTCAAAAACCTTTTCTTTGGAGCAGAAGAAGTGTATTAGATGGGGAAAGATTTTATCTGCGGGGCAGAGCGATGCCACATCGCCCAGGGCCCTCCAGATGAGCACAAGGTCGGACTCGGCTGCAGGAGCAGCAGCAGCAGGTACTTTGCTCATTCCTCTCTCCCCTCCTGCCCCCACCGAAAAGGTTTGCAAATTTGACGAAGCCAGAACAATAGTTTCTCCTGGCAGCCCCTCTGTTTACTTGTTTAGAAATCCCAGAGGCGTTTCGAGGTAAAAAGGTCAGAGCCATACCGGGCTCGCTGCCTCCTCCCTCCCCTCGCTGAGCTCCATCCCTCCTTCAACTGGGCTCGTGTGTTCCTTAGGATGTGGAAAAAAAAACCTTTCAGAGATCTCCTTGGGAAGCTGAAGGGAAGAAAGCACATTGACACTTCGGTTTGGGTTTTGACTTGTGTAAATATTCTGTGTAAATGTTCCGTATAAATGAGCATCTCGCTCTGCCCCCACCGCGGCCCCGAGGCTGGTCCAGTTAGAGTTGCTACTTCAGAGATGCAGATTTCCTCCCGTACCGGGATGAGGATGAGGAGGATTTTTCTCTTCTCATCAGGCCTCGTTGCGCTGTGAAATAATTCCAAGTGGGAAGAGCTGCATTTTATTCCCGTCCCGTCGGGGTGAATTGGATTTTAATGTTCCCGCAGCGTCGGGCACGATCCTGCCCGTGCCAAGTTGGGGGTTGTGGGGTACCCACAGGAAACAGGATCTGCCCTTTTGTTTGGAAGCTTTGGCAGCAGCCGGAGACCTTTTCCTTCCTCCTTCTCCTCCTCCTCCCTCCGAGCCCGACATCCCTCCCCCCCGTGTCCCGCGTCTCCCTGGACGGGAGAGATTTCTCTTAAAGTCGGGAGGACTTGCATGTGAAAAAAAGTAAACTTTATTAAACTGAGGTAGTTTCATTTCGAGCTACAGAGCACGGGGAGGGGAGTGAAAAGGAAACGGGAGATTCCGATTAAGAAACGTTAGTTTTTCTCGATGCCGTTTTTCCTTTGAAAACAATCTTGTACAACAATTGCGCTGGGTTTTAATTCGTCCTATCCTAAAATTTCTCGGGGGGGGGG